AGAATTGTTGGCATACAGCAAAATTGCATTAAAAATTACCTTTAAAGGTAGGTTTTTGTAGAAGCGTTCTTATTTAGCAGGTTTGCATGTACGTGTGTTTATTTTGGGTTTGTTTGGGGTTTTTTTTGTTAGTTTGTTGGTCCCTGAGCTCCTAAGTATCAACAGTCCTTTTCCTGAATCGTAAAGGTGACCTCTTAAGGAGTTCTATAAGTACCATGTTTACATAGACTTCCACAAGATAAAGTACCACAGCATAAACAATATTGTCTTAAACACACTATATGGATCAAAATGCCTCTGTTTGTGTATAAGTGGTGAAAATAAATCAGAGTGGTATCTAGACAAAAGTCACACTTTTATATATGAAGAATCTGCACAACTGCATGTTTGTAGTATGATGGAGCCTAGGGTGATGGATAAGAAAAATGCATCTTGAAAGTAGATCTAAATCTTTATACTGTTGTGATTTTTAACTGACTTGTCTCTTTTCATCATGGAATAGCTACATGACCATAAATATAAGAAAGTACTGGCAGTATAACTCATACCTTAAAAATAGTTTATTCTTAGCAGCTACAACAGTTTTTAGAAAAGAAAAAGAAAGGTCTTACTTACCCCAGACAAGGACAATGTATCTCAGTGGAATAAAGTACAGGATGACTGTGAACATACAGAGGGCTACAATGGCCAGCCAACTTAAGAATGGGACAGTCCAGTTGAAAGTACTGAATGAAAAATTAACACATCAGGGATCTGAGCACTTCACACCTTTTTTCAAACAAAAATTAAAATAACTGATTCTGACTGACTTGGGACCTAGTTAATTTGCATTTCTCTATGGAGTAAAAGCCAATTATAGTATACTGTCAGAGGACACAGGTTACTCGTAAGCTCTTCTACTCCCAAGTATAGCATCTGATGGCGTTACACTACTTTGATGCCTTCCAAATGGTTAACATTGTTTTTCTACTGCTAAAATGAGTACCTAGCATTAAAATTGTGTACAATGGAATGCTTCAAGGCCTACCATTCTCGGTATCCCCTACACATTCTCAGTATCCCCCTACACTGGGAATGCTTCCAGTAATTATCGAGCATGCATTTCTTACAGGTTTGTGTAAACCCTCTGAATTTTAGATGTCATTTAAGGACTCACTTCCTACTTAGCTATGTTTCACATGAAACTGGAAATCAGAAAAAGAGGACAAAGGGGCTGGGAAGGTGGCTCAGTGGTAGAGCGCTTGCCTTGCATACATGAGGCCCTGGGCCCAGAAGTGGTGCTGTGGCTCAAGCAGTAGAGCGCTAGCCTTGAGCTGAAGAGCTGAGGGACAGTGCCCAGGCCCAGAGTTCAGGTCCCACGACCAGACCCCCCCCCCAAAAAAAAAAGAGAGAAAGAGGACAAAGGAGTTAGTTTAGTACAACTAAACTTGCTAACATTGCCTTTTTCCCAGAAATATATGGATAATTAAAAATGAAGTCAGCATTGCTTACTCTTTTCCATGTATATGTCTGGCATAGAAAGGCTATAGTATGTAGTGATTTTTGTGAGAAACTGTAAAGGGAGTTCAAGCCAGAAAAGTGTGACTAATAGTAGGCAGTATTGCTGTACTGCTGGTAATTGAAATTGTGAAGGGCTGGACAAGAGAAGGCTATGATACAGTATTGGCAGTAACTTTGTAACAAGCACAGAACCAAGGTCAAGGACCAGAAGCAGTCGAGTTACAATAAGATGATTAAGGAAATGGAAATGCAAAATAATTTAATGGAACAAAAAGTAAAATGGAAGCAACAAAAATGAGGTAGAGAATCAGGAATATGGAAAATGGAAAGACAACTCATGTAAGCCTTTTTTTGTAAAAGTTCTGTGGTTAATCTGATAATTTTTAAGAGTGAGTAACAAAATCACATATGAATAGAAATGACTGTGGAGGGGCTGGGAAGGTGGCTCAGTGATAGAGCCCTTGCCTTGTCCTGGGTTCGATTCCTCAGCACCACATAAGCAAAAAGAAAAAAGCCAGAAGTGGCGCTGTGGCTCAAGTGGTAGAGCGCTAGCCTTGAGCTGAAGAGCTGAGGGACAGCGCCCAGGCCCAGAGTTCAGGCCCCACAACCGGACCCTCCCCCCAAAAAAAGAATGACTGTGGAGCCTGCAATGGGTGAATACATAAATCATGGCATTCTTTGAAATCTTAATGCTAACTACCAGAAAGAAACTAACATTATGTTCATTGACTTAGCATGACAATTTAACAAAAAGACCCAAAAAGCTTGCAGGTTTTGAGCACAGTTTCAAAGACTAGATTCCATTTATATGATTTTAGTTGCATCAACCCCTACTCCTCAGTTTCTCCCTGTATAACGTAAGAAGAGCTTTCCATCTAGAGTTGCATACTTAAAGGTTATATTATAGCCAGGCTTGTAATTCTAGTTACAGAAGAAGGCAGAGGTAGGAGAACACGAATTTTGAGGCCAGCCCTGGCAAAATTTGAGGTCATCCTTGGCTAAGTTCCAGAGACCTTATCTTAGAACAAAAGAAAGGCTGAAGACATTGCTCAAGTGATGAGCACTTGAAAGCACTTGATTCAGTCCCAAGTCTACAGGAAAAAAGGGCAACAACAGTGTTACTGTTAGAAATAATCAACTCTAGTAGGATTCTAAAGTATGACATTTCTTTCAAGGCATTAAGAAGGGCTCCAAAGACACTTCAGAAAAATAGGAAATTGTACATGATGCAGATAAATGTTCATGTTTAATTTTGCTTTCCTATTTGTCACTTGGAGTAGGATGTTCTGATTAAGTTTGATTTAAAAAAAAACTGCTAGCCAGGCACTAGTGGCTCATACCTGTAATCCTAGCTACTCAGGAGGCTGAGATCTGAGGATCACTTTTCAAAGCCAACCCTGGGCAGAAAAGTCTGTGAGTCTCTTATCTCCAATAAACCACTAGAAAACCAGAATGGCACTGTGGCTCAAGCAGTAGAGCTCTTGCTTATTCTGGATTTTGTGGCTTGTTACCTGTTTTACTAGAAAAAAATTTTTTTTAGTAGAGATCCATAGTTGAGTCTCTGATTTGCATGTTTTCAGTAACCCTTAGAAGTCAGGCTTTTTTCTTTGCTTCCTTCCTTTCTTTGAGATGGTCTCATACTGAAGTTTAAGCTGGCCTCAAACTCTCAATCCTTCTGCCTCTGCCTCTCCCTCCTATGTGAAGGGATTACAGATATTTGTCACCATACCCAGCTAGAGGCTGGCTTCTCTGTATTTGATCTTTCTCTTATGGTCAACATCAGTACCTAGTAACTGTCAGCAGGTAAAGGATCATGACCTCTCTCCTTGATGGACACTGGTTCTTTCCTTGATTTTTGTGAAAATAGAAAGCTGAGAGTCCGCTTGCTTTCCTGTGGCTCAGTTTAGAGATATCCATCACACTACTCCATGTGTGAAGGCATTTCAATCAGAAAACCTTTATTTTGGGCAGAGCCACTGAAGGACTCCATATTGGAAGGACAAATGGTAAAGAAATCTCACCATGTAGCTAATGGTAGGTGGAAAAGGCTTGCCCTTTTTCTTTTCCACACTCTGCATTATGAAATCTAAATCTAGAAAACGCTCTTTTCCCAAGATAGTTCTGGAATGATTATTTAGTAACAAGATGTGGTATTTATAATAGAGACTTGATTTTTGTGCTTAAAGATTGCATCTGAATCTGCTTTCTTGATGTGTTTTTGAATTTCAGTTTTATTATTGTTATGCAGAAAAGATGGTGCCTACAGGACTCACTAGCTGTTATTACTATACTTGTATCTTAGCATGGCAAATTCTACAACATCAGGATTTCCCCAAGACTGTTCTAACCACAGGGATCCAGTCTTAATCCTTCTTCTGACCATCAGATTTTGTAGCCAGACATCTGTTCAGAACCCTCCAACCACACACAATTACAAATTTGTCTTTTCTCATTCAAGCATTCATTAGCACATATTGTAGTCCCAGAGAATTGTCCAAAAGTTAGGGCTTCATACCTAATACTTAATGATAAAGTATGTGGGGCAAGGGAACATTCTTAGGGATACAAATAACACAAAAGAAGAGAGAAAAGACATAGGAATGTATCTTTCTTTACAAGTCAGACTGAGTTGCTTAGAGGCACATTTGAGAATGAGAGGAAGGCTGTTTTCTCTAAAGTAATAATAGAAGAAAGTGGAAACTCAGCACACATGCATATGTGAAAACATATTAAATAAAAAAATTATCCAACATAAAATGCATTATCCCTTGCAATGTGAAAGGCACCAGATGAATGACTCATACCTTTAGTTTAAATAATTTACTCCTTTCAAATTCTGTGTATGTCTTACATTTAAATATGCAGGAAACTTTTGGTTTGGATGATAAACAATGCATAGATATATGAAACTAAAACAAAACGTGGTTTTTCCAGATATACAACACCATTTTTTGAATAGGTCATTAGGAATTGTTATATAGGCCACTTTTCACATATCTTTAACTCATAATCAATTATAAATCTACCTTTTTGTAAGTAAACAATGGTTTTCATTGATCAAGATGCATTGTATTCATGAACTGCTCTGTTAGAAACTAAAATAAAATGTATAAACAAAACTTAAAATACAGCACAATGTAAAATTAAGAAAGCCTTAATTTCAATATTTTTAAAAATTAAAGGGATTCTATTTTTATTTTAAAAATTTTGGTGATTTCTAAATGATGAAACATTGGCTTATTAATTTCAGCTGTTTAAAAAATTAAGGATTATTACAATTAGTACCAATTCTGTAATTTAGAAAATCCTGATCAAGATAACTAGAATAATAATAAAATGCAAGTATCTGATTACCTGAATCCTTGTTTTGTTTACTTTTTCCTTATATCATGATTTTGTATTTAAGAACAGTCTTTCACTGTGAAAAATGTGCTAAAATTTAGGACAGTGTTATTTCTTCAAAGCTAACTTCTTTCCAACCAATATGTTTTACATTTCAGGAAGGAAATTGACAGAACTCCCATAAAACCAAAGACTGGCAGAAACAAAGTAAATAATGATGAAACTGAGCTACAGATCACCCAGAAGAAGTATCTCCTTCCAAAAAAAACTGTGGCATTTCACTCTCTGAGAAACAAATGGAAATCCTGTCCCATAAAAGGCCAAGGCTTACATGTCAGCATCACTTACTTTTTTATCCTTTCGCCAAAGGAAGCCACTTCATCTAGGATGTTCTGGACACTAACACATACCTCTTGGATGGCATAGATTTTATTTATAAATCCCTTTTTTTCACTGTCCTAAAATTAAATAAGAAATTCTGTATGAGTAAAAGGTATTCTTTATAAAGTGCTTGGATTCTTTGGGTTTTTTATCTGTGGATATATAAATAGATGATTGGAGCTTATAAAAATTTCAAAAGAAAGGTCATGAAAAAGGATAATCAGCATTATGGACCCACACAATATTGAACTTGAATTCTGTTTGGTGAGCAGAAGCATCATGGGAGTTAGAGGGCCAGGTGTGAGAGGGAAGGTCTGAGAAGCTGGTATTTGCACTGAGCCAGGACCCACCATGACTACTCAGCAATCCTAAATTTTTTAGCCCATGACCCAGAGACGTAAATTTGGTTTGTGGCTCCAGATATTTCAACAGCAGAAAATGCTGGTTGCTGTTAAGAGTACCTGTGAGCAATTTAAACAAAACAATTACAAGGACATCTAAAATCAACTGAGACACTTTGACATACCCAGCCTGATCTCCCTCTTTAATACTTTCATATGTTACATAGTAGCCTATACATTAGTCAGGAGTCTAACTAAGCATTTCCCCTCCTTTTGTACTTGGTTCATTTTACAACTCTGCTCAATTTAAACAGAGCTTCAGGGGATTGGGGGAGTTGGGATTAAGCCTGAAGCATCCAGAAAAGTGGTATGAGCCTAAAATGTGCACATATTTTGTACTTTTAGACCCAGAGGAAGAACTAGTGGTGGCCTTTCACAATTGAAAATTCTGCTTAGTAGCCTGGCATCACAGGCACTTGCCTAGGCTGTTTGATGGAGACCATCCAACCCTGATTCCATGACTCCATTCCTCCTTGCCAACTTGAACATCTATGGAAATGTAGATCCAATTTCATTACATCTTTTGAAAACTTGTATACTATGCCAGAACACTTGAGACCTCATGTGGCAGTCAGTGCTTGCTGAAAGCAGCCAGGAAGCTAGAATAATAATGTCATGTTGCACATTTACATACTTTCATTTCAGAAGAGTTGAGAGCACTTTTACACTCTGAACACTTGGCCACCTAAAAACCAAGCAAGAATGAAGCATGGATGTACAGATACCTTCCAAGGAACAAGTGGTACACTGGACCAACGGCATATGGACCTAACAAATCTAGTACATCAGTTATCTTTGAGCAGTTCAAATTTAATTGCCAAGGGGATTACCAAAACAGTTTGTCAGTGAAGCACATGAGACACAAAGGTTTTTTGTTTTGTTTTGTTTTGTCGTGGGGCTTGAACTCAGCTTGGGTGCTATCAGCTCTTGAGCTCAAGGTGAACGCTCTACCGCTTGAGCCACAGCGCACTTCCGGTTTTCTAGTGTTTTATTGGGAGATGATAGTCTCATCGACTTTCCTGCCCGGGTTGGCCTTGAACCGTATAATCTCCTGAGTAGCTAGGACTACAGGAGTGAGCCACCGGCATCTGGCACAAAGGATTTTTGTGTTTTAACAGTGTAGGAAACAACTAGCTACTCTTCAGTGTTTTTATTATCTCCAAAATCACATGACCATGATAAAACTAGATGCATCCATTTTGTTTACTTTTCATTTAATCAAACATTACTTTTACTTATGTGATTGATTGCACACTTTGGAATAAAATGAATAACTACAGGGTCTGGGTGGTTCTTAACTACCGAGTTCCTCTGTTCTTAAGCACAGCTAAGTTCTTTGTCTTTTAAGCAAAGTACTCTTCTAACGATTTATTCTGTACATAGTAAAGTGAACTAGCAGACTTGGGAGAGGGGTGTCAGTGGTGGTAAAATACATGCTTGGAGTGTACAAGGCCCTGGGTTCAATCTTTAGCACAAAAAAAAAAGGAAGAAACAAAAAATGGAAGTCAACCGTTCTGGTTCTTCAATTAAAGTCCATTGTGAATAAGGTATTTCTAGTTCAAAATTGTGTTACTCTTTCACAGTGACAAAATGTATAACATACTTAAGCATAATCAAGAAATTTACAAAATCAATGAAAATGGATACTGTATTTCTATATTACAGTACTGAATAGAAAAGTTTTTTTCAGTTAAATATAGATAAATATGAATAATTTGGTTTCAAGTACATTACTCAGCAATTGTATTAACTACTTGAAGAATATTATGTTAAAAACTACTTGAAATAACCAAAAATCTACCTAGATTACCTCAGATACCTCCAAAAATACCCTAGATTTTTAAAAGAAAAATTAATCATAAAGTACAGGTGTTTCACTAATTTCATACTAGGAAAGCATCTTGAGCACTTAAATATTTTGATAGCAGTGATTACATTAAAAACTATGTCAAAGGTATAAACTAACCACAGCTGGAATTGGGATGTAGCTCAGGATTACAATGTGCAAATCACTTGGATTTTTTAAAAAGGCTAAGTGGGAAGCAATTTATAAGAAATTAACACAAATGATGGGATGTTATTTCTAGTGTAGTTAATAATTACATTCAAAATTATGGATGTAAACATGCATTTTCAGATGTGAATTGTTTTTAATTTTTAACAAAATCATTAACACACTGAGTGGAATTAATTATAAAACCAAATCATTTAACAGGATGCCAGTGACTCAGACTTGTAATTCTAGGTACTCAGGGGACGTAAATACAAAGGATCATGGTTTAGAGCCAGTCTGGGCAGATACATCCTCAACACTCCATCCATCTGCAAGCTCACCATCAAAACACAGCCGGGGATGTGGGGGGAGGGGAGTATGGTAGAGGGCCAGCTGAAGAAGCTCAAGGCCCCAAGTTCAAACCCTACCACCAGAAAAAAGTGGGGAGGGGGGGGGAAGAGAGGGAAGCTTAGCAAAATACAATCAGATAGAATTAAAAAATAAATTTGATCTGGGTGCTGGTGGCTCATGCCTGTGATCCTAGCTACTCAAGAGACTGAGATCTGAGCATGGTGGTTCAAAGTCCCTGAGACTTATCTCCAATAAACCACCAGACAATTGCTAGTGGCACTGTGGTTCAAGGGGTAGAGTGCTAGACTTGAACTGAAGAGCTCAGGACAAGGGCCCAGGCCCAGAGTTCCAGAGTTCAATCCCCACTACCAACCTAAATAAATAAATGAATTTTGAAGCCAAACTCCAGTGACAATCGCCATTCCGTCTGCCCAGGCAGAAAAAATCCCCAGTTAACCACTCAATAACCACAAGTGGTGGTATGGCTCAAGTGGTAGAGTGCTTGCTTTGAGCACAAAAAAGCTCAGGGATAGCGCCCAGGCCCTGAGTTCTAGCCCCACAATCGACAATAATATCCTTATTTTTAAAATGGTTTTGTTGGGGGCTGGGATGGTGGCTCAGTGGTAGTGTTTGCCTTGCATGTATGAGGCCTTGGGTTCGATTCCTCAGCACCAAATAAGCAGAAAAAACCGAAGTGGCGCTGTGGCTCATATGGTAGCGCTCTCGCCTTGAGCTGAAGAGCTGAGGGACAGTGCCCAGGCCCATAGTTCAGACACCATGACCAACCAAAACAACAACAAAAATACATCAATAAAATCATTGTGTTGGAGAAAAAGTGAGGAATATTCAGGTAATGGAACCAACTTCATACCTTCTTGTAATGATTCAAAATCTGCAATATATTTTACTTTTATAATCAAAATATTTCCCCGACAAAAAGAAGCATTAAATGAATTAGAAGTTACTAAACACAGTTTTACTTTCAGTTTTTTAACCTATGTATTTTTATGCCTATCTTACTTTCTGAAAAAAAAAATAGAAATGCTATTAAACATTGTTCTGAGCTCAAGCCCAATACTGACCACCCTCCCCCCAAAAAAAAAAACTGAAAAATTATAAAGATGACTCTTTAGTTTTGGAACTGAGGTAGAGGAAGCATAATCAAATGGTAAAGTGCCAGCCTTGGGTGAAAAGCTAAGGCTCTGAATTCAAACCCTGGTACACACGCACGCATGCATGCACGCACACACGCACACACACACACATACACACTGTAAAGTGCTTTTCACATAGCTCATTGGCAACTACTTCACTATTTTCTCTAGAAAGCTTTGACTGAGTTTGTAACTGATCTACTTTAGAGTCTATCCACAATATTGTTATTTCTCTCTCCTATCCAAGACAGCTTCAGTTCTTCCACCAGAAGCACAGCAAGATAAAGAAGAAAAAAAAAACTGGAAATACAGTATTTAGAAATGTGTGGACAGCATGATCTAGTCTTGAAGCTCATCAAGCAGCAAGAAAATGACATCTAAAAATTTGATTCATTGGTGGAAACTGAAAGGTATGGTTTTGTTTTTCTTGTTGGCAGTGGCAGTTTGTTTTGTTTTTATGCTGATACTGGGGCTTCAACTCAGGACTTCCTGCTTTTTCACTCAATGCTGTCACACTACCATTTGAGCCACCACTCCACTTCTGGATTTTTACTGGTTAAGTGGAGATAAGAGTCTCAGATTTATCTCCCCAGACTGACTTTGAACCTTGGTCCTCAAATCTCAGCCTCCCCTGCAACTAGGATTACAGGCTTGAGCCAAGAGACCCTGACTTGGAACCCACTGTTTAATGTCAACAATGTGATGCACAGGCATTAAAAATTGGCCTTCATTAATTAGAATGTGCTATTTAAGCCAAGTACAAAGGATATTTTTTAGTAGCTACTATAAAATTCCAAGTGTTGCTGTATAAGATTATTGGCTAAAATTCTTTTAAAGACAGATTACCCTTAATTTTATTCAGTTTTCTTGCTGTTCCAGCCCAGATGCCCCTCCTATACCTTTAGCCACCAGGAGATGGTATGTCTGTGATGTTAAAATTTGGGGGAGCAAAGCATAAATTTTACTTTAAAATCTTTCATCAGATCTATACTCCTCTACTGTGGTCTCCAACAAATG